CTGATGATTCTCTCTGAGTGATTCTGCTGATGTTTCATCTGTAAACCTGTTGATCTGACGTGTTAAACACCTTAAAGAAAGTTGATACACACCTTCTGATACCCGACGTCTCTGACCAGGGTTTGGTTTTTGTTGAGCCGACTTAAACAAAGACAGCCTGGATTTGTTGAACCTGCGTCTTGGTTCAGGCTTCAGAACTCTGTTCTACTTGGATCAGACGATCAACTGATGCTGTTGTTTTGGGGATACAACAGACCTGCTCAGCCAGTTCGGATTGTCAACAGGCAGGTTTTAGTAGTCTTATCTCAGAAAGTATTTGATGTGTCGAGGTAGAATTTCATTTTTATAAATAGCAATATTTTATGCTATCAGACTCTCAGGCAAAGCAGGGATGGTGGAGCAGAAACTGTTCTGAAAGTGTGAAGATGTGAGATGGACTGAGCAAACAGAATCCCACGGAGAGAAGTCAAAGCATTGTTTTCTGCCTCCAGATTGTCTTTGAACCCCACAACATCGACAACGCCTCCCCGGCCACGGTGTCCAGGAACGGGATGGTGTTCATGAGCTCGTCGGTGCTCGGCTGGAGCTCCATCCTGCAGGCCTGGCTACAGAAACTACCGGAGCAGCAGGCCGACTCCCTGAAACGCTGCTTCCACTGCTGCTACCAGGCGAGTGCTCGTCTCCAGCTTTCTGATCTCACTGGTCAACTCATAGTCTGTGATTCTGAACGGAGAATCAGTTAAAGTAAACAGAGAAGGGACAGAGAATGAAAAGGTTTCTTCTGTATCTGTTCCAGGACTTGCTGGACTTTGTGTCCACTGCTGTGTCTCCCAAGATGCAGGTTCTGGAGTGTATGTACATCAGACAGACTATCGACCTGCTGCAGGTACAACACACAACCAAAGCACACTTGTGGAGCTCTCTGTCCATCAAACTTGATGCTATGTTTGTTGGACAGCAAGCACTGCATCATGATGAAGCACGGTGGTGGCAGCATCATGATGTGAAGCACGGCGGTGGCAGCATCATGATGTGAAGCACGGCGGTGGCAGCATCATGATGTGAAGCACGGTGGTGGCAGCATCATGATGAAGCACGGTGGTGGCAGCATCATGATGAAGCACGGCGGTGGCAGCATCATGATGAAGCACGGTGGTGGCAGCATCATGATGTAAGGTGGAGGGTAAATGAATGCAGCAAAGTGTAGAGAAATCCTGACCCCAGACTTGAGTCCAGCTGAGCGTTTGTGTCGTGGATCATGAGTGAACAGAACTTTTCAGGTCTGTGGAACCCGACAGAGTTTGAGCAGTTTTACCAAGACGAATGAGGTAAAATTGCACCATCCAGATGTTTAGGATGACTGAGACCTTCTCCTCTTTGTGGAAATCGTTTTTCACTTTGACACGACAGAATCTTTTGTGGTGTAAACCCTTCCAGAGGAGGATGCATCCATTTTTACAGGCACTGTGTTTGGATTGGTATTAAAGCTACGACACTGGAACCCTGCTGGAGTTTGCAGGCTCCGACTGATTCGTCCTCCTCCTGCTGTGTTCAGGGTTTGCTCCCAGCGGTGGAGGACAAACAGGGTTGCCATGGGGACGTGGGTCGACTGTTTGTTTTTGCGGTCATGTGGTCTCTGGGCGCCCTGCTGGAGCTGGACGACCGAGCCAAGATGGAGGCCTTCCTGAAGGTGAGCGACAGTCCAGCGCTCTGCCGCCCTCTGCAGTCTGCCAGAGAGAGGTTCAGGTTTTTTACAGTGCAGGAAGCTTGTGCTAACAGTCATGGTCCTGTTGCTGCCAAACTCCCACAACATGAACGACGCCTCCTCTGGTCTCTACAGTATTAAACAGTGAGAGGCTCCCCCTGGTGGAACAACCAGGTACTACAGCTGTTCTACGATACGTTTCCTGACATGGGCGACCTTCTTCTAATTTATCGGCTCATATATTCTAGATTTGCACAAGCATCTCTAGCTACGATTTTGAGGGATCTGACTGTTTTAAATGTGTTTTCGGGCTCACTGGACGGAGGGACCAGCTTTGGACGCAGGAGTCCCGTTAATGTGTTTGTGTGTTTTGAAGGGCTACAGCTCGTCTCTGGACCTGCCGCCCACTCAGGACGAGCAGACCATGTTTGAGTTCACGGTTGGAGAGCAGGGGCAGTGGCAGCACTGGTCCGATAAGGTCTGTGGACACGATGTCTGGCAGAGCTGCTGCTTTCCACATGCGTACAAACCGAAGCCTAACGTCAGCACGTGTGTTTATTGGTGTGATGATCCAGGTCCCGGACTACGTCTACCCCAAAGACCACGTCCCCGACTACTCGTCCATCTTGGTTCCCAACGTGGACAACGTGAGGACGGACTTCCTGATGCGGACCATCATGAAGCAGGGGAAGGCTGTGCTGCTGATCGGGGAGCAGGGAACCGCCAAGACCGTCATGATTAAAGTGAGCCAGCCAACACCAGCATGAGCCAACAGGTCACCTCCCAGTTAGACCAGCAGCTGTTGCTCCGAAGCGCTTTGAAAAAAAAATTTGATTGTTGTAACCGGTTAGCCTCACAAGCTTAAATACTGAGGTTAGCGCCCAACAGTGTGGTTTATGGTGTGACTTTACCCGAGTACTCTATGATTCAGGGGTTTAAGTACTGACTGTAGTCCATCATAGGGCTGAGACCCGACAGTGCTTTGATTTATGTGGATTTAGTGTCTTGTTTTAAGCTGGAGTTGTGACCTACAAAAACACACAGAAACAGAACAAATCCAAGGATCCCCATGACAACACTTTCTTTGTTTTTGTGGCATAATTGATGTCAAAGCTGTCACACAAATGTGGGGAAACCGTCGTCTTCTGAAGGCGTGAACTCGCCGACGTGTCCACGATTCAGACCTGCACTACTTCCTGTTAATCAGACGGCATCTGAACGTGTCTGCTTCGTGTCCGAGTCACATCGGTTTGGACGTAGTGATGCTTCTGTGTCACTGCGAACTCTGACTCGTGTGAAGAAACTGAACAGACTTTCCCACGTTTCAGCTCCGATATTTGTCTGCAAACATCACAGAGACGCTCAACGCACCGTTTTTCATGCACTTCGATCCACAAAATGAAATGTCACTAAAACTAAACGCTCAGTGTGATGACGGCGGTGGACGCCAACAGGTTCAAGATGGATGATGCTCATCGCTGTTGAGCGTCGGGGACGTTGACAGGAGCTCTGAGTTTATCAAACGCCTGCAGCGTCAGACCCACGAGTGTCAACACAGAGACACCGATCTCTGGACGTCGTCAGTAACTCCGCTATGTGGGCACAGCTGGAACTGGTCCCTGACATGGAGACGGATCAGGGTCTACGAGCAGGTCACACTGTGGACTTCTAGAAACCAAACTGGGTTGTAGCTGTGGGGACACCTGGATCAGCTGCTTTTAGTTTAGATTCAGTCTGTCGTAATCCCGTACACATGACCCGGTGTATTGTCTGGAATGCTAATCTCTGGCTCCCCCTGCAGGGCTACACGGGTAAGCTCGACCCAGAGCTCCACCTCAGTAAGACGCTGAACTTCTCGTCGGCCACGCTGCCCGGCATGTTCCAGAGGACCATTGAGAGCTACATCGATAAACGGATGGGCGCCACCTACGGGCCGCCGGCCGGACGCAGGATGACCGTCTTCATAGACGACATCAACATGCCCGTGATCAACGAATGGGGAGACCAGGTGGGCTCAGACTCTCTCTGATTGGTCAGCTCCTTCTGGTTTCTGTCATCAGGTTCTTGCTGCTTTTGATTCTCTTTTTCTTTCTTTGCATGTTTTAAGTTTCACATAATACTTTGTGTCCAACACATCAGGCGACCACTTCATCAGCTGATACAGACAGAAAACAGCTCTGATCTGCAAGAGACGTCCGTCAGATACAACCTCATTTATTACGATTTCAGGCTTCTCAGATACATTAAGTTCTGCTGAGAACACGGTTTGTCGACTGCAGCTCCACATGTGATGACGTCGACCACAAACAGGGCCTCTGGCTGCAGAGGTTTCATTTGGTTTCATTTGGTTTCATTTGGCACAAAGTTCTGACTGATGAGTGTAAAGTCAGAACAAAGCAAGAAACTGCTTCAGAATGTTTTCGTCAGCGTTGCACCAAATGAGAAAGATGAGAAAGAAATTCGTATTTTAAACAGTTTTTTATAATAATATCGTGCAGCCACAGTGTTTGATGTGATCAGAACCATTGCGACCCGTTACGTTATAGGTTATCTGAGAAGCTCAGAACTTCATCAGGGCAGCAGAATGAAACCACCAGAGCTGAAGAACACGTCTGAGTTCTGGTAGAACCTGACACCAGATCAGTTCTACATCCATCCAGGTGTCTCAGTCTGAACACTGGACCTGAAATTGTTCAAAATTAGCCAAAGATTGTGTAAAATACCTCAAATGTATCCAAATAGCCTTAAAATCTTTCTAAAATGGCAGAAACGTGCCCAAAATGACCAAAATAATTCTGCAAAATATCTAAAACGCATCCAAAATGCCTGCAGATGTTCCTAAAATGACCACCACAGCTCAAAAACTGTCCAAATCTAATCAAGAACTGTAAAAAAAAATAGTTAAAAATGAACCAAATTCACCCAAAAATGCCCAAATTCACTTCAAAATTGTCCAGAAGGATTAAAAATGAATCCAACCTGCCCTCCAAAATGACCCAAAGCTTCTCCAATCAATTTCCTAACCACCTGTGACCATCAGTATTATGGGATGTCTCACAGTGGTACCAGTTTAATGTCTATGACACAGAGTCACAGAAACAATCATCGGTACCCTGGATGTGTTTCTGGTTCTGATCACTCCGGTAGGTTCTGGAGGTAAAACAGTCCGTCCGTCGTCTAGAACTTGTTCTGACCAAGAGTTGTTTCTTTTCATTCATCAGAACTTGAAAGTCTCGGGCCTGCTCGCGCTCTGCTCTCATTCCATTTCCACAAATACTCGTTGGGCGTTTGTGTCTCCCTGTTTTCATCCCAACAACCAATCACAGTGAGGAGCTGTGGCCTCCCCGCCTCTCCTAATGTGCACAGAGCCAATCAGATCACTTACACCACTGTCCCCGCCTCCTTCACACTCAGATAACCAACGAGATCGTGCGTCAGCTGATGGAGCAAAGAGGCTTCTACAGCTTGGATCGTCCAGGAGAGTTCATCACCGTGGTGGACGTTCAGGTAACAGACTCGTGCAGGTGTGAATCCTCACGTGGACGCCGCCCACTGTGTGTTCTGTGTCACTGATGCTCTTCATTCTTGTGAAACGAAAAGTAGATTTACAAAAGCCCTCCAGGAATATCGTGTCTCAGTAACTCTAAACATGACTCAGCATATCTCAGCCCCCTGCAGCTGAGCGAGTTCTGTTCAGCGCACCGTATAGTTGGAGCATTTACACGCTGTTTATGTGGAGAGTTTATTCCTCAGTATGTGTTCTTCTTGCACCAGAAGATATGAGATGATTTGCACAATGAACAAACATGCACGGTTATGATTACAGTGTGGGGTTAGAGCGACGGCTCCCTGGTCACCAGCCGCAGACCCTATACAGCTGAATGTGATAAACATGTGATAACACGTGGGCTAACCTTTACCAGCTGGTGGCGGCCATGATCCACCCCGGCGGCGGTCGCAACGACATCCCTCAGCGCCTGAAGAGGCAGTTCTCCGTCTTTAACTGCACGCTGCCCTCCAACTCGTCCATCGATAAGATCTTCGGCACCGTGGCTCAGGGATACTTCTGCCCAGAGAGAGGCTTCCCTCAGGCGGTCTGTGAGCTCGCCGCCGCCCTCGTCGCCTCCACCAGGCGGGTGTGGCAGGCCGTGAAGGCCAAGGTACAACCATCTGAGGAGGCTTCGCTTTGTCTCATCATCACGTCATGGCCAACTTACATCAGTTCTTTGATGAGAGTTTACAACAAAACACTCTTCATGTCGAAGTAGAAACTGATTTCTGAAGTAATAGCAATTAATTAACATATAAGATGTTAAAACCAGCGGTTCCATCAGGGTTCTCCTCCTCCAGTCAGGGTTCTCCTCC